CGGAAGAGATGAAACACAAGACATGCAGATTTACCAAGTCTTTAAGGAAAAACCAAGAAAAGCACTGAAAGCCCTTAATGTTGCTCAGGTTTCACGTAGGGACACAGACTGGAAGGAGCCAAACCTGAAGGAGGAAGAGAAAAAGCCCAGAACTACATACCAAAATCACAGAGTACAGCAAGCAAGATTTCAATCAGAAATGTATGATTAACAGCAAGAGAAGAGGCAACAAAACCTTTCCCTTCTCCACAGTTGCTGATCTAATCTAAGTTGCTTAACCCAGCCTCAGGCCTCACTTTTGACAGAGGTCTCGAGAGGTTCCTTCAGACTTTTCTATGATTCTGTTTTCTACCTCAGACAGGTAGATTTTCGTGAACAAGAGGGCTAGGAGTGATTCCAGATAACTACTGCGCTGTCCTCGTGGTGCAGGATAAACACCGTTTATCACTGCTGAAATCATACCAAGCTTAAGTAGTTGCTAGTAAGGAGAGAGATGGAGGTGCCCTCACACTGCCTCCCTCTCTTCTAGCTTGTAAATGCTGATTTTAAAGAGGACCTCAACAGAAGCTCATCAGAACACAAGGAGGACTGTATTTGACTTTCACCCTTAATGAGAAGGTAATTCAGTGTGAGAGACAAAGGCAGGCAGCCAGGAATCTAGCAGGATGGCACAGAACAGACCTCGCAGTTCACAGATGGGCTGTTTCCACGCCATGCGCTAATTCACTGATTTTACTGTGCTGTGCAGGTTGGAACAGTAAGATGTTAAGAGCCATCTTCCAGCTCTCTGGAGGAAAGAAATGGAGAAAGTTCTGAGCAGATTTTATCCTTTGAGTGGACGACAGTTGCTGTCTGTAAATGACTGAACACAACAAACTATTTGGTAGTTCAAACTGTGCGTTTTAAAATTTTCAGAGGATAAACTCATGGTTGGTCACTATTATTAAAAAGCTCTTCATCAGAAAAAGTGACCTTACCATTTAAGAAGCTTACCATCAGAATCTTGGTGTCAGCATCAAGGGTTAAAACATTAAAACGTGTACTCGGAGAGAAAGTGTTCTTTGCTTTAAAATACTGCCACAGCCACAAGTCTTTTTGATTTGTAGTTTTGGAGCATTTCCTAAGTCAGACTCAAAACCATCAGTTCTGTGCTCTGTAGCTGAACTCGGAGGTCCTGCAAGCATTTGCTTTTCTGTCCTTCCTTATTTTTTGCCTACAAAGTTGTGCTTTCCTGTTGTAGATGCAGAAGTCACAACTTTAAACAAACAGAATTCATTTTGAGAGCAAAGCTGTCTCTCCCCCTGCTTTCTGAAGTTTTGCCTTTGAAAAACAAAGCATTCCATAATTTAGAAGGCTAAAACAGTGAAGTAAATTTGTACAGAAATAATATTCTTAACAATATAGGCATTTTGAACTGAGTACTGTATCAGAAATTTTAGTTTAAATTAAAAGGCAATCAGTGTTGATTATCACATTTGTATAGGAAAACTTGATTAGCTTGGACAGAGCTGAGAAACTTATTATGATTACAAATATACAATAATTTATGTGTAATATTCCTAGGTACTTGTCATGTGTTCATTTTACCAAAAATATTCCATATATTTTAAAACAAGCGTGAACACCCGCACAGTTGCCAAAAAGCGAACTGCTAAATATTTCAGTGAACAAGCACCAAAGTCTCTTTATCAGACTGTACTCTGTTGTCTTGGACCCTCAAAATGAAACAGCACTTGAGATGACGTACTGTGATCTGGTATCAAGCCAGTCCCTGGTCTCAGCAGCAGCAAAACTTTATTCCCTCCAGCCTGAATCAGCTCAATGGCTCGTGTGTGAGTGATTCCTTGGGTGGGTTCTCCATTAATTTCAACAATTTGGTCACCAACCTGATGAGAAAATAGCAACCAGGTTAGTCTTTATGAATCTCTGACGCTGTAAACTGTTTTTTAATTTAGAAAGAAAAAAAATAGAGGCAGATGCTTCTATTTTTCCTCTCATGCTAAAATCCACTCAGCAATAGCAACACCATTCCACGGCTGCTGATTAGCACGACGCAATGCAATGCTCTGGCGGGTCAGAGCTTTTCATGCAGGTCTTCTGCTCAGCCAGCTCAATAAAAGATCTCAGATTCCTTAAACGCATCTTCCATTCCTTTACAAGTGATGAGACAGATACAGCCATGTGCTTGAATGTATTTTCATTCTGGATCATCGTATGGGGGAGGCTTATGGATGAACCACGTCAAACCTGGCACCATGCCCCTGTGTAAAGTCATGCTAACTAGGTAAGTAACACAGCAACCTCTCTACACTTAATGCAGAGCTGAATGCTATTGTGGCAGAACAGGTTTTATGTAAGGAAAGGATTTTTTTATTCCAGGTAGGAGAGGTCACTGCTCTGCAGTTATCAGTACTAATGTCTCTGAGGCCAATTAGCAACTTACAGAGGTATTGAACAGGTAATTACAGCTCACACTACCTTTGCAGGCTGCTGGAAAGGGGTTGGAATAGCACCCCCACAAAAAGGGTCATGAAACCTATTTTGCAATACATGGATGAGCCAATGGATGTCACTAGTGCATAAAATCAGCAATTTAAAGAGACTGTCTGGGCTTTGTTAAATAAACTATCTCTGCCAAAAGAGGTCACTGGTCGGTTACTCATCGGACAGGACAGGACGCTCCACACCGCATGACGTGCCTCCCGTCATGCTCAGCTGCCATTAACTGGGTGAGAAATTCCTCTTCACCGTTCTGAAGTATAGCACGAAAACGACACCATTTTCCAGCTGAGGAGGGAGAAACTGAATGACATGAAAATTGTGAATAACCTCACACTGGGCAAGTGCAGCCCCTCTGCGCTCCGAGCTGCTGGGGACACACGGCACAGCGCTCGTGGCCCTGCTCCTCCACAGCCACCAGCACCCGCCACGGGCTGCGGAGGGCTCACGTTCCCACGGGACGCGACCACCCACATCGCAGCAAACGCATCCCTCTATACACACATCCCCTGCACAGTAAGGTGCTCGGTGCCAAGTGGTGGGAGGGGGATTTCCGCAAGACTGCCGAGGACCCACAGTCCAGAGTGAGGCTGACACGTGGGGGCTCGAGCGCTTTCAGCAACACCTTGCTCTCAGGGTCCCCCCGCAACCCGTGCCTTGGCACAGGTCGTCTACGCAAAGCACAGTACAGTCAGCTAGGAACCTTTTGGTTGCGCTTGCCCGGAAAGCAAAGCCTTGGAGCTTAGTGTAACACCACTTGAAGAAGCAATACAAGAGAAAAGATTAGTACTAAATACTACAAAGTCATATAGTCTCTCAAGCATGAGGGAAAAAAGCTAATTACTGTAAAGAATTAGGATAATAGAAGTTAACAATACTGAGAATTTCACATCTAATTAAGCCCCACAGTAGCCCCAGCAAGTATTTGTGTCAGTGCTATTCTACAAACTGTAGTACAAATGGAGGCAGAGCCTTGCGCCCATGGCCATACGTGCAGTGAGCACCGGGACTGCACGTGGGACGGCATCTCACAGGCACCTGGCTCAGCTTCATGCTCCAGCCTCTGAAAATTCAGCTGTGGGCAGCAGTCACAGATTCTCACGTACCATTGCTCTTTGCTATTGTACCCATATGTTTTGCTTTTGCTACAATATTTGAAATTGAATTCCTTAAACAAACATAAGAATTAAGATAATCTTTGAAAAAAGTTAGGCTTATGTCTTCTAACACCGCACAGAACAGCAAGAGCCCAATGTACACACAAACATTCCTTACAAATTCACTGACTTGGACAGTGATTCTCCTTTCAGCTTTCTGCTCCACTGCGCAATTTCTTGTCTGGGCTCCTAAGTATCCCGAGTAGCTGCTGCTCACACCCTGGGACATGTACGTTACTGTAACTCAAGCATGGACGTACAGCTCACTTCGGATGGCCAGAGCTGTTCATATATTTCTCCTTTAAAAGCCTACTGCCACAGCACTTGCTGTCACTGCACAGTAACAGCTGGAAGAAGGGCAGCTGTCCCGATGCAGTTCTGCCTGCTGGGACCCTGCACTCAAGCAAGAACAAAGTTTGTTGCCACTGTAGGTGAATTAATGTGTCAAAAGGCCAACTTGATCAACAAATTGATTAGAGAAGACAAACTCACATGTACTCTCCCATCTTTGACAGCTGGCCCATCTTCAGCAAGTCGAAGGATGAATAAGCCCATGTTGTATTCCTTTCCTCCTCGAAGACTGAATCCAAACCCTCGAGGGCCCCTTTCCAACTCTACTGGGAAACAGCCAGGATTCTGTACGGAAGTCAGACAAAAAAAGAGATGAGGATCTGTAGGCAGACTTAAACATTTGTTTTTCTGGAAAAATGCTTCCTGCATTTCTACACTTGGAGAAACATGCAATCCACAATTTAAACTGAATGCATCACAACTCATGTGTGATTAGGTGTAATGGTTTCATTCTCAGTCTAAACATACAGAACAGTTTTCCTTTTAAGTTTTAGATATGCATGAAATTTAAGAAATTTTGCCAAAGGGTCTGTAGTAGCCCCATTGCAAGCATTTTCTGTTTCTTTTGTAATTATAATGAGTATTCAACTATACTAAGGAGACAATCAAATTTAAAAAATTAGCAAAAACACTCTGTGAAACACATTAGCGCATTTTTATATGCAACTTTTCTACCCATGTCTGACAGGGAAATGTTTTATTGTTCTGCTTTTGAATACTCTGTGCCAATGCCACTGTAGTGTCTTGACGAACGGGTATTTTGCATGTCTGGATGCAAAATGTTTTTTTGGATGGTTACCTGTACCTGGGAATGACGGCTACCAATAACTGAAGCAACGGCAGCATCGGATTGTGTCAAGTACTTATGCTCGGGCCAGGAAAGCCTGTAACTATTTGAAACTTCTTTTCCAGCTTCACCTTCCGTAGCTCCCCTACACAGAGGTAAAAGGATCTGGATGTTACCTTTGCCTTAACAATCCCTCTGGTCAAGCTTTTCTAGCCGTCCTCAGCAAGTTTTGCCAGAAGCAAAAGCTCTGTACCTGTCTGCACCAGAAGGGCTGATCTGTGCTGATCCCAGCGGTCGGTGCTGCGGAGCTGGACTCTGCCTGGCGGAGTTTGTTCCTGACGGAGGACCACGGTGTTCTAATAAATTCAAGCAAAACTGACAGTCAGAGAGAACTTCCCAAATATAAAGCTTGGCACACTCACCAGGAGACCACAGTGACCATCAGCGCTGTGTCTGCTGTGCCTAAGGATGCTACTGCCACAGCGTCTCAGGTTGAGCTGAGCTCACTGCAGGCACGAGGCAAAGAGGATTTTCAAGGTCTAGCGCCATAAGCCAGGAACCCAAGTGCAGTTCATTGGTTCCACAGAATAAAATCCTAGGAATTTTATTCTTACCTACGCTGCTTTTCCTCAGAAAAACAACACAATTTTAACCGAACCAGACGTGAACAGAAGGGGCTTAGACTGTCTGCAAGTTGATAAAAACCAGAAGGGATTAGGGCTAGTCAGATCCATGAAGTTGGTTCGGCTATTAAATATAGTAAAATTTTGTAGGAGATGAAGAATAATGTCCATTTGAGAACATATCCCTTTTTAAAGGTAAGAGGAGAATGAGGATCTGTGGGGGCAATGAACCTTCACCCTGTAGGTGAAGACCCTAACGATGGAGGGAAACTGTCAACTCATTTAATGCATTGCTACAGGCCAGCTATAGGAAAGGTTACGAACTGGTCCCACAATCACATTGGAGGGACTATTTCACTGACAAGGTTATCAACGAGAATTTTAAAGTGTTTTGCCTTGTCCCAAAGGCTAAGTAAAAATTAAAGTATAATGACGTTTTAATAAAATATTTTAGAATAGTTTAAGATGATTTTCCCTTCCATACAGTGATCGTGCACTTTGCAATAAATCCAGTGCATTTATGAAAAAAACATGTTTCAGGATACAAAATGTCTCTGTCACTTAAAGAGTAATAAACCATAGTCTATGCAAAAAGCTGCCTCTTAGCTAGATCCTGAAATGGCAAGTGGTGGCCCAAGATGAACTTATGTACTGAATTATAAACTAATAGACTCCTTTTCCTTATAAGGGTTAAAAAAACCCCCAAAAAGTCCCAAGCACCCAAACCAGAGATGTTCCAGTTCTCTGTTACGTGGATCACATTACTGCATTTCTCAGTTAAGAACAAACAAAACCCAGTAAAATATACAAAGCGCTCAAGCATCTTGAGGGAAGGAAAACATAATGCATATTATTAGAGTGAATTTCTCAGGTATGCAAGACCTCTCGAGTCCTTCACAGGACTGCTTGGTGCTATTACTATGACATGACATGCCTTAAAGAGGTTTTTCTCTAGAGACAAAATGTCAGCTTTTACTCCTGGTTTATACTTAGAGTTTTAATTTAGAAGCACTGGCAAAAAAAATGCCATCTGTTTGTACAAATTCTCCAGTCTTCTTTTCAGCCTGCTCTCTTGTTTCCAGCTAGTACATGACAAAAGCTGACAGGCTCCTGCTTTTGTGAAAAATGTTAAAGAATGTCTTCTGGCGCATGGAGTGGAATTCGTTTATTCATATGAAAAGCAAAGATCACACATCTGTGAAAGCTAGGAGGGAGAGGGAAGGGGTACAAGGCAGTATTTTCGTTGTCAGTCTCAGAGGACAGCGCTGAAGATGATGCACTGGGGAGCAGCAAACTCTATTAGGTTTATCCTTTGTGATGCTGAACAGCTTCTGGCAAAATAGGCATTTTTCTCTTTGGAGCTGTATCCTGCATCTTCCTCGGTGTTAACCACCGTCTTGTGAACCATCTCTGTGAAGCTCAGCTCTCTCCCTGGGGGGAGAACGCCTGAAGCCCCGACTAATTCACATCCATTCTGGCTTTCTACGGGAGTCTGCTCTACCGAGTCTGCTGCGAGCTAAACTGTATTTCTCCAGCTAAATCAAGGAGAATTTTAAGTGGTGATATATTCCCATTTCTGTGGAACAGGTTCTGCTTCTCTCTCCTTCATTGTCACAAATTCTTTACATCTGAAACTCTGCTCCTCTAAGCCACACATTTTTTCTGACTGGTCTCTTCAGTCTAGTTTTATCATCCACTACTGACTTTTTTTTCCCCTCTCTTTGTTGATTCTCCTCAGGTTCTTGTTTTATCTCTACATTTTGGCTCCAAATCTGTAATTGAGGAAGTGGGAAAAGCTAAATTCTTACACAGAGTCCAGGTAAGGTCATATATAAATAAGGGACAACAATGTTATATTCAGAAAGCTTACTTTGAAAACAAAGCTGATTAAGAGCCCTGGAGAAACAGATCTAATGCAACCAACTCAAACTTGAGTTGCATTATAAACATTGCCCTGGGCAACTGCTTTGACATGTGTCCCTTGAAACTGGAATGAATTAGATTTGATAAAAATGAAAATCTTAATAGAAAAATAACAATTTATAGAAGTCTCTCTGCTTCAGGCATAAACAAAAAGGAAAATTAAGTCTTTGAAATTCTGTATCACAGGCTGAAATAGCATGTTAAATATTTGCAATGAATGTGAATTAGAGAATCACCTGTTGGCTTTATTCACATTCTGACTTTAGGTATTTATTATTTAGAAGATGAAGAAAGCCAACTTTCTGGCAAAGTAATGATAACGAGTTTAATTAAACCCACAAGCAGCAATCCAGAAAAATGCAGTGGTAAGCAGGGTTGGAAAACAGCTTTTTTCTTCAAATGATTGGATTTTACATATTTATAGTGAACTGTTTGTGTAGGAACAAAACCATATTGAATGCAGCATTGCATGGGAGCTTTCATTAAAAATACAATCTCTAAAGATGGGACTTTGCAGTCACAGATACTCACTTTGCTGCTTAGATGACATGGCAGTTGCGTGTGAAGAATTTGCTAGCAGCCTGGGAGGAGCTGCAGGAAAACCCCGAGTAAGGTTTTCATGGTGGGATGTGACCATTTTTGAAAGCGCAGCTTTGGCAGACAGAAGAACTACAGGATGTTTCTGCTGCATCCCAAGGATGCAGCATTAGGCAATTTGTGTATTTTAACACGGCAGGAAGGGAAAACTAAATGTGCCTAAATGGAGAGGATCTGGAAAGCAGGTGTCCCTGCAGCCTGTCCCCTAGCTCTGCCTGGCAGAGCCGCTCCAGAGCATCCCGGGAGCATCTCCCTCGTCTGGAACAAAGCTCGTGCAGCCACTGCAGCAGCAGGAGATGGGCACTGTCCAGGGCCGATAAGATTTTCTCTCTGTCGTCCCGTCAGTCTGCTGTAGCTCTCCCAGGAGAGGTCATTTCTCCTTGGTTGAAGAATACAAGGTCTGGACAGGACATGTTTCCATGGGAGCAGCAGTCTCTCTCTCTCATGTGAGAAACCATGAGAATTTCTCTTACCCTGCACTGTATCGTTAATACTTGTATCTTATTTTTCAATATAACCACCTCAGCAGCTGTCTCTCTCTGCCCCACCTGCCTTCAGCTCTTCTAGAGCAAACGGATAAGCCTCACTTTTTTCTTTGATTTCCAAACATCTTAAAATACTCCACTTTAACTGAATTAACTTCAGAAGTTACAAACATTAGACTTTGGCAATGTGGCAGGACCCATCCACCTGGCAGGGCCCAGCACCCTCCTTACCTTCCTCAGCCACGACAGTCAGAGTCACCACGTTGCCCGCGTCCTTGATCAGCTGCACTATGCTGTCATGCGAGAGCTCAACGATGGATTGACCATTCACCGCCGAGATGCGGTCTCCCACTTTCAGCTTCCCGCACTGGTCAGCTGGGCTCCCATCTATAACTCGCCCAATCTTGTGAGGAATCACTAGGAAATCAAGAACAGGCACAGCAACACGATTAATATTCATGTCAGATAAGCATCACACAGACCCAGAATTGCCAGAGGGCTCCTGCTCTGAAGGATGGCACTGCTAGCACAAGAAAGGCCTGCAAATAATGAAGAAAGCTTCACTCAGTAGAGCGAATGGAAACGCCAACCCCTGACAGCATGGCCTTGTCACATAGAAGGTGTTGCGCCTAGAGGAAAACACGGGAAGGAAATGGGTCGCATCTGCGAAGGGATGAATAAGACCATGTGTCCCAGGAGTGCTCTGAAGCAGTTTGTTTTGCCACTCATAATGTATTGTTTTCCATTTCATGCATAGACCCTGGAGCACTGTGTGGACTCAGAGACAGTTATGGACATCCAGTTTAACAGTCATTAGAAATCTGGATGCACGGGTTAACTCTTCCTCCTTGCAACCAAAAATTAAGCCTTAAATACACTTCAAAAGGAAATCAAACTTTTCCTGCCAAAGACTAACTTAGTAACCTGGTGAACACCTCAGCAGTGACCCTCAGCACACCCAGGCAGCACAGCAAGGTGTGCTAGATCAGCTCTGCACAGACCCGTTCCCTATTCTAAGATGAACTTGCACCTGTAATAATTGGCTGGAATTTTAGCTAGCTCTCCTGGCTTGGTTTCCTCAGTTCATCCCATCGTGACACACTGCTCTGTATACAGACTCCTCTAGAGGCCAAAGCAATGGGGCCAGAAAAGGCAGAACAGGGAAAAGAGGGAATTTTACGGTAAGTAGGAGGAAAAAAGACTGCTTTTAGTTACTTTCCCAGAGGTGGACACAGATGCAGGAACGAGCAGAACTAAAAAGGCACAAGGAGGAAGGGATGCTCCCCTCCAGCATGGTGCTTCCTCCGGCACCTCTCCCACAGCAGAGCACCGCCACGGCCCCAGCGGCTCCCGCGCCCTCCCGCCAAGAGCTGCGCTGGTGCTGGGGGAGAGATCTTGTTTTACGGTTTGCTGACCCGAAGATGGCATCTGGTAGCCAGCAAGATGCCATTGTGATGGGAGGAGCCTACCAAAACCTGGGGCTAAAGAGCGGCTCCTTGAGCTGCCTGCGTGCTGACGTGTCCCCGACAGAGCAGATTCACGTTACATCAAAGCACATCTGTCAGCATGCCTTCCCACGTGCCTAAAACAGCCTTTCATTCATCTGGATGCCTGAAAGCATAGCAAATTGACTCCTGTCCTTCCCAAATCCCTCATCAGGGCTCTTCTGCGCAGGAACTGCTGCACTGCTCCTTTGTAACTCATTTCCAAACACCACTCCAGACTGACCTCCACATGTTTCATAAATGCTCTTCCAGGTACTTCATGTAAAAGCCTGTTTGCATCTCCAAAGCCTGAAGTGGGTTTGATGGATACCTGTTTTCTGTAGTTGCTGTTCTCCCAAACATGCTTTTCTCCGAGGGATCGATTGGAGGGGTGAGGAACATTATGCGCCTGTCAGGATTATCAGCTGGCTTTTCAAAACCACGACAGCACATCTGAAACACTTTCACAGCGTCATCAGCCACCCAAGATTAAAAAGCCATCAAGGATTGTTTTAATAAGCTAGCACACGCAGAAGTTACTGTGAAGGAACAGACACTGATGCCTTCTAGCATTTACCATGAGTTTAAATTTTAATTACACTTCCCTTAATAGACTGTTTTTTTAAGTATTATATAAACCTAAGAGCCAACTGTGAAGAGTAAAGCACTGCAGGGTTGCAGACTCAATTGCTGATTACTTGTTTTAAAATATCCTGGCTTTAGAAGAACATAGTAGCTTCATGTTAAACGGTGGCACAGAAAAGTTCTACACAGCACAGGCTGTGGATGCACCAGAGTCTCTTTTCCTGTGTCTTAGAAACAGCCTGGACCACAGGGCTTGTGTTTCCAGCACTAGAATTGGTTTCAGTTGTCTTCTACCTTCAGTTTTAATATCAAATAAACAGCGATTTGCAGCAGACCCTCAGACAAAAATGTTGTCTGTAGTAAAGTTATATTATAACAGAATATAACAGAATACCAGTATGTTATAGAATAATTTTGTTTATAGTATTTTTTCTTAATATCCGACTGACCAGACAACATACCGTCAACCCATGGCCGCTCTGATGCGGGACACAATCATCTGTGCAGCATCATGCACCTGAGGGTGACAGCTCGCCCTGCCGCTGCCACGGGAACCCACCGCAGTGGGCAGCTCTGCACGTGGACCACTGTCGCTCGCCGTCCCACCGCTTCCAGAGCGGCTGGCTTTAACATTCTTGAAAAGGTATCGTCTGAGCCAAGACTGCATCACACTCTAAATATCTATCATATGAATTCAGCACAATGTTATTTAGAAACAGTTTTTTTCTGTGCTCCTGCTGTTTTTTTATTATGCAGTAAAATGAAGTGGAAAACCAGAAAATAGTGTCTGAGGCTCAATAAAAAAGACACACTTTCAAGCCATCTTTATATCTGTCTGGAACCAGCTGAGGAAGTTTCAGAAGGGTGATTTACACTAAGGAACTAAAGGAACCAAATAAGGATTCAGGAGTTCTCTGTACCTTAATGTCAGTGAATTGAGTTTGTTTGTGGGGGAACACACTGAGCTACCTTGTATTTTGAGGGCTACACAGATAACCCAAACCTGATAGCCAAAGGGAATGAATCTCAGAAAGATGATCCCACTTGCCACCTCATGCAAAAAATATTCAATAGGCTCTACCTGGCACTGCTAGGTAAGTAGCAGCCATCACACGAGGAATACAAATGCACTTGATTACACTGAGCAGACCTTCTCCTGTGCAGGGGGTCATGGATCTTTCCATTAATTGAGCTGGACTCCAGGGCTTCCTGCAAGCAGCTTCTCTCATTCACTTCCGCTCACAATATTTCTTTTTATTTTTGCTTTTAACTTTGGTTATTTTGCTGTTTATCTTTGCAACTATGCCTGAAGCTATGTCCATATATCAGAACTATAATACCAGAGCATGCTACTTTTTCATTTTGATGATCTTTCTAGACAAACACCCTGTCTGTCTGACAGTAACAACTTCATCGCTTTCTTCCAAGTTCTGCAGTCTCTACTTTCTCAGATTCCCAAAATAAGAAATTCTACCTGATTAGGTAATATAAAGCCAAGGTTGAAACTATACTTCCATTAAAATGCCTATGAATGAATGCAGTGTGAGAATCTGCATCACCACCACAGCCTGACAACTATCCGCGTCCTGAAGACTGCCCTGTGACAAGTGCACACTCCTGTGTACGGGCTGGTTGCATGTGATATGCTTCCCCCCTGCTCCCCACTTACGTCACAGTTGGGTGAAAAAGAGCATAAACACGAAGCAAGACAGACCAAGCTGTCTTGGGTGGGGCTGTGAAATAGTGTGAGTGAAAGACGACTGTATCTACGCCGAGCGCTGCGTAGGTAACACCAGCACATCAAAGAAAGAAATCCCTGAAGAAGCCGCAGTCCTGCTCACGCCTGCTAATGCCAGCAGCAGCTTTGGTACAAGCACCAGGCAGGGAGGCTAGGCAGTGACAACGCCGCCAGAACACAGCACTTACCACCAGGAGGAGGTTTGTTCTTTGAGGTGAGGATGACAAAGCCAAATCCCTCGTTCTCCTTCCGCTGCAGACGGACATCATAGACCTCTGGGGACTGCTGGTTTGCAAACTCTACCCGATTCAGCCGGGGAGAGCCGTTTTGCGTCAAGACAGGCTGTGGCTCCTCCTCCTCCGGTTGCTTTTCCCCTTGCAGGTAACAGACAAACAACAAATAAGGAAAGAACAATACTGCTGTTTTACAAAGCAACTACAGCAAAACTGTACATCTCAGTATCAGTGCTAGCATGAGGAAAGACTGTCTGCCTGGGAAAGTAAGGGGTGAGTTTATTAACAATACAGTTTGGATCAAACAGAAATCAGATGCAGGATAACGCATTCAAAGGCCCAGACTGCTACACAGGTGTGCACAGTTATGCAAGGAAAGCCTGCTGCACACTGGTTGCACACAGCCGAACAGACTTGGCAGTGTGTACACAGATTTTGTCAGAGTGATCTGATGCCTTTTTATAGTAAAAAAAAACATCGTGGCTTTTTTGCATGCTACAAGTACAAGATCTATGGCAGAGATCCAGCTACAAACTACAACTAATGCTATCTTAAGTGAGGCACAACTGTTTACTTGGAACAAAGGAAACATTTTCTAAAAGGCAGTTTGAAGACTGAAGCCAGGCTTTCTTTTAGGAAACCTACAGAATTTTGGTCCTGAAGTAGTCTATCTATCAGAAGGCATCTTAAAGAAATTGAGAATTTATCTTAAAAATACTTTTTCCTTTTACTTGTATATACTCAGAATTAATGGTTGAATAATGCAATGGAAAAGCAATACTGCTTGCTAATCAGAACAGGGGACCGTTATCAGCTCTCCTGAACCCCATCCCAGCTCTGTCATTCACATGATCAGCATCATTGAGTCAAGGACAATAATCTTCTGTACGCTGCTGATCTGGACACTGATCTAAAACTGCAGAATCACAAGATGATGCCCTGAATCATCTCTGGTTTGAATGCACTTATTCTTGCTACACATAGATGCCAAAAGACTTGAGAATACAGCATGTTGTACAGAAAAGAGATTGTGTTATTCCTTGATTTGCGTAGCATTAGTTGCTGTTCTAACAAGTATCTGCAAAAAGGGTTGAAGAAAACACCACTGCCATCATAATTTTCAGAGCCTTACCTGTGTGAGCAGTGCAAACTAGCAAGCTCCAAAGCATCAGCTTATTAAATTACGCTTTTCTCCACTTACTCAGAATTATAGCTGACCCTCCTGAATCTCAGGCTGCTCATGTCTAGTGCAATAATTCATAAGTTTCAGAGCAGCTTTAGTCGATCTGATTACAAAAACGTAGGTGTTCCTTTAGCCAGATCAGTGTCCTGCAGTACCCTCTCTGGACAGACAGACACATACCACCAAAGAAGATCTTCCTCCGGACTGTGAGCAGCACCTGACCGTTCCGTGCAGCACTGGTCATTAAGTCCAAAACTTGTTTGTGTGACTTCCCTTTAACAGGGACTCCATCAATACACATCAGCTCATCTGCAGCTCGAAGCCTGCCGTCTTTTTCTGCTGCTCCCAACGGGATTATGGCTCCAATATAAATCTGTCAGCAGAGCAGAGTCAGGGGGTTTGAATAGCAGAACATGAGCTCATCAGAACACGTAATGGTTGGAATCCAGGTGAACCCAGACAGATGAGGGCTTTTGGGAAGATATTTTTAAAGATAATCTGACTGTCCAATTCTAGCAGAAACACAGCCAATGAGTGTACTTTGCACAAGCTGACTCAGTGGATATAATTTGGGGGCTCAAAGCATTCAGTAAATACACAGAGTTTGGGGGAATTTTTAGTTCTCATTTCAATGAATTTTGGAAGCACCACTACCTCCTAAGCATATTCGTCAGTTTGTTAAAAAGCCCAACTTTTGACAAAAGTATACACTGTGTACTTACTACGTATGTATGATTTCTCAGACATTATTGAAACGAAAGCCTCTGTCATTTATTCCACTTACTTTATTTTTTTACCAAGACTAGGCCAGACTGACTGGGGAAGAAGTAAAAGCTTTCAAAAGAACTCAAATTACTGCTGAAAAGTAGACAGTTCCGTGCTTGAAGGTTTTTCAGTGCACAGCTTTTGGTGATTAGATAATGAATTCAAACAGCTGCACTCCCCTTATCAATTTTGTCTAGCCCCACCTCATAAAGTGCTGCTAAATATAATACAGATAAGAACACCACACACTATTTCATATGCTAGAATCACATTCAGGTTAAATGAAAGATTAAGAATAATTATGGCCAGTAGTTGTTGGCCAGTTAAGCAACGGGGGGTAGATCATCTGCACACAGCATTCATGACATTAGCTTGACACTTACCAACAGCTATGGCTGTTATGGAAACAAAACACCATAAATGCTATGAAGTGCAACAAAAGTAAGATTGTTTTGTTTTGCTTTTCCTTTTCTTTAAATGCATGTTAGGGAAAAAAAAGGGCTAGCACTGGATCACAGCTGTGAATGGAAAAAAATGTATTCCTTAACTGTGATCAAAAAGCAACCTATGAGAATCTACTCCAAAAGCTTTTCCTCTTAACTTGGCAGCTGAAGGAACAGCCCCTGACATACAGTACAAGTCTTAGCACTTCTTCCTAGAGAAAAATTTTTGCCTTTTTGGAAATAGAGGGGAGTCTTCTAAAGCCTGCCGGCAGAGGAACAGACTACCCAGGGGTTTCCGCACTGGCATCTGCCCCTCTGCCTCCAACTCCGCCAATCCTTGGCAATTACCTCTCAAGCGGAGAGTCATCCAAGTCCAACTGCAACAGCTCTGCAGGCTGAGGCCAGGAAACACGACTACATTGATGACTTAAAACCATAACTGAACTCTAGTCACTGACCAGGTTAAAGCAAACCAGGCTCTAACTGGTATTCTTCCTCCCGTGCAAACATCAGAGCTACATTTTGATGCCAGTTACAAAACACCACCAACATCCATTTGCAGAAGGAAGCCAATTATAATAGGTTCTGCTTCAAGGCTTTCATGAAAATCCTGAAGTACCACATTTTGTATTTTCTGAGATGAGAGGGAAAAACACAAGGCAAATAAAAGCCTGAAAGAGTGCACTGGAAAGGGTGTGCTTGTCTCCTTGAGACGAATCCACCAGAAACCACACTGACTGACAGAACAAAACGTATTTTTGAAAATTTGGCGGGAGAGGTGGGGGAAAAGGGGTGCGACACAATCCCAAATCTTGCCTTGTTTCACTGGGTACATTCAAAAGAATGGCCTGACGGAGTTTTTGCAGGGTAAGCAGCAGCTTCCTTTCACTCATCTCCTGCCAGGGATGTGCACGGCACATGGAGCATTACCAGGGCGTGTTCTATGCCAAGACCAGGATCAGGTGGAAACAGGCAAAGGCTGAGCACCAGTGCTGCCCTTCTGAGCGCTCCCGAGATACAGCAACAACTACAGAAACACCACCAGTATTATCAGCCTGACAGAGAAAACTGCCGCCAAAGGCAGACTCTAGGTAGCAGAAAGGGCACGGGAGCCTTGCAGATTAAAGTCAAAAACCACAAAAAGGAAAAAAAGAAAGGTAATCTGAATCAATTCTTGATCTTTAAAAGGCAGTTACTGAATTGATCGATTTTGCCATCACTGAACTGCTTAGAATGAGAGGGAAATGAGGATGACAGAGTAGGAGTCCTTCTAACAGTAATACTGTAAGATAACATGTAGGCAACTTGTAAGTAAATTGTTTTACTTACAGGCTGATCTGGTCCATCCCCTCCAAGCACCCGGAAACCAAAGCCTGACTCTTGTTTTCGCAGGAAAACATCCAAATCTCTTGTGTTTGGAGCTAAGACAAAGCAATATTTCAAAACATGTAAGGAGCTACCTTTGATTATTGAAAGATCATGCTTTTATGGTGCATTCTGACTCTTCTTATCGACAGAACACAGTAACCAGAAATACAGTAAATAATTCAAACAGTGAAATCTTCAGTGTCATTCTCTTTCCATTTTGGAAAAACAAATTTTCAAGAAAAGGCTGAAAAAGGAAAGGATAGATTGATGAATGCCAAAGGAGAAATCACTGCTGCATTCGTATGGTGAGCCAGGATAAAATCCGGTCTGTCACACAACTTAGAGCTACCTTCTATAAACCCTGAAATGGTCAGGTCTACTTCAGTTTACTTCAGAACTAGATCATCCTTAAGACCATTTCTATGACTAACTGTTTTATCGTAAATATGGTTGAAGCATATTATACATTTTTTTTTAAAAAGGAGTTCCACAGTTTTGTAATTTCTGTATGAATTACACCTTTCTTGAAATGTTTTATCTACAGGAGGTTAATAAACTCAATACGAAAGTCACAGTAGTTTTACCACAAATATGACAAAGAAAAAACTCCTTCATAATTGAGTATTTCCAAGCTGAGGCTGATACACTCACGTTTGTCCTCATATATAGTCTTAGACTTCAGATAGACTTCCGAAGGGTCTAGTTTAGGAGAGCCTGGTCGTACAGCAGTGGGTGGAAACGGCATCGGCTGCGGGATGGGATCGCCGACAGCATCCAAACTACCTGAACTGTCCTGCTTGTCCTTCTGAAACAGACCCCACCCCACAAAATCCATATTAAATCAAAAGCATAACTGAATTTGTGTCTGTGTGCACGCAAAGACAATAAACATCATGCAGAGGTGAAATGCAGGGCAAAACAAGGGAATAGGGGAATAATATTACAACTCAGCGTAGCTTTTCCAATGTATGCGTCTGATTGGACTACTGAAGTCTTTCTCACAGGCCACAGGTTTCTACTGACGACTGGGCTTAGAAAGGGGGTTTGAAGTGACTGATGCTCAGAGATGAGTAAAGCTAGCCAGCTCCCGGTGGTTACCGACACCCGGGATGAAGCAGGGCATACAGGACGGGTCATGTTCGGAAAGGAGACTGATTCCTCGGCAGGCGCCTGCCGGGCTCTGGACCGCGGTCCACTGCTGCGGGCACGAGCTGCTCCGCGGGCACTGCCTCCTGCCCACTGCCAAACCACGTCCAAAGAAGAGCACCTGAGGTGTGCCCAACATCAGGTTGTTTGCTGCAGGTATCCCAACAGCATTATAAATACTGAACAGGAGGAATACACTTGGGTAGTGTGAGGCATTAGTAATTCAGTATTTGCATTTTTCTTTTATGATCTGATAGCTCCTATTAGTATTTCATGAAGAAAGGACATCAAGCATCCCTGTGGTCTCCCACCCTAATTTCCAATTGATTATGCACTAAAGTAGCTCTAAATACTTATTCTGGGCTGAAACCCAACCTAGAAAACTGGAACATGGTAGTCTGTGTGTGCCTGTGCATGTTAAACAAAAGCACAAGCAGAATAGACTTAGATATGCCCTTTTACAAAGAGTGGACGAAACCTCCCCCAAGCGATTTAGCAGTTTGACACTTCTTGCATGTTTATAAACACAAGAACTTGCCCTTTTTAACTGAATTATTTTGCCATGCTGCTTAATGCCACTGAACATGAAGTGCTCCATGGGAAGCTGCTACTGCACACGAGTGCTAGAATGCCAGACCCTGAGTCCATAGTATTTTTAGCACGCCTGCACAGAGTGCACTGACACGGGAGCCACGCTGACAAGGCTTGCGTCCTCAAACTGCAGAGATTCATGCACGGATTATTTAGTGCAGGCAGCTGTACGATTGCAAGGAACTGAATCTGCAAATCTTATTGAGTGCTCACATTATCCCACTGCTGGGATACGACTTCAATACTCAAACAGCAGGACAAAGATAGAAAAAGAAGCTACATCTGCATCCTGGTGATGGGGTTTTCCTAAAATGAAATAATTTGTTCTGTACCAGAAACATTTTTAAAGAAACAACTCTGTTCACCAACTAGTCTAATTCAAAAAAGAAGTGCTCATGACAAAAACATGCATTACTATCAGCATTATGCAATCAGAGGGAATTTTATTAAGCCCAAGAATTCTTTATTGAGCTAATATATATTAAAGATACCCCAACAGATTGAACTTCCAAGAATCATGAATATCAAACTAGAAATGTACCATTACACAGAGACTTTCTGAAAGTATGGATTCAAAGATAAGCAAGCATTTTAAGAAGGGAGTACTAACCAGACCATTAATTCTATGCGAGGATTGAGAAATACTGAAGTATCATAAACTTCCTTCAGAAATCCCGCTTCACTTTAATACAGGTAATTAGCAATGAAAAAAAAAAAGATACTGTATTCTGTTTCCCTTTTAATGGGTATTCTGACAGCAGTTACTTAACAAATTTGTGCCAGCTAAGTAGACGTGGTTTTGCTAAATCATTCTGCAGATTATCACAGGGACTAAAACCCAAAGGAGATGAGATTACAAAAGCAGGTCAAAGTGTGCACAAAGATAGCAATTTCAAGTATAGTGCAAAAGAAGGAAATAATGATAGAACTTAAGTGGCAATGTCATATTTAAAATCATGACAAATCAACAATACTACACCCATCGTCATGCAAGATCTTTGCTGCATTTTTGATTCTTCAGTAGTAACAGGAGACACATCCATCACCTCCATTAAACAACTCAAAAAACTCAAAGGAATCTTTGGTGTTAAGTAGACCATATTTATGAGTCTGTTTTGCAACCAAAACCCCCTGGATATTCTCCATCAGAAACAAATTTAAATACATCACTAATACTCACCCCTTTGGCAGTTTTAGTAGGTGAGGGTGGACCTGAAGAAAATGGAATGTAGAAAGCAATTTCAATACTAGGTCAACAAAAGTTTAAACAGCATTAAGGCAATATAATCAGCGCCTCCTGGGTTGAAAATAATAACTGCTTATTCACTCTTCTTTTAAATGGCAATGTGAATGTTCAGTTGACCAAAAACATCACTTCAGAGAAGTCCCAAATTAGAATTGCCAGCTGTACAACAATGAAAAACATCTATTTCTCTTTTTGCTAGACACTGGTCAACCAAATCACACATCAGTTCATTGGACACGGAGACTTTGTGAATTTGTCTAGAGGAATTTCACTTGCTACCAAAGAAATCTAATTATTTCCTTAGCCGATTATGGAATAGTAGCATTTATACAGAAAAAGACCTGGAGATTTTTGCAAATGTCGATGACTGTTTGAAGTGACACTCTCGAGGGCTACAATAAAAGCTTAAAGGAATAAAAGCTTAAAGGGACACTAAGCAGCCACGTGTTACTCCATAATTCATTCAGCTCCTTCTGGCAAACGCACACTACCTACTAGTCAGCTTTTGGGGAGAAGACACATTCTGGTCTGTGACTGACAGTCAATGAAGAGCTATAAATATGCAAATGCCAAAATGAGAATTTTTCTGGTATTTCCAGTGATCAACTCCACCTCACTGCTGATGCTTCTTCCTGTCTCCTGTAATCACCTGTCCATATAGCTACAGTTACTGGCATACATCTGGAGAGCCTCAGAAAACTCTATCCGTCATACACACTGTATTATGCTAGAGACCGCATTTTTGCTTTAGCACCCCCCAGACACTTGGAAGAGACAGTGCATAAACATATCAGAATACAATTTTTGAAAAAGAAAACCAAAACAAAACGAAAAACAAAACAAAAAAACCCCTAGCAACATGCTCTCACCCCAAATACTCAGGGGTATAAATTAAACTTGGAACATAATGGTTCAGAGACATAATAAGCTGCTACTTAACTGTCAAGACCGGACACAATTTAGGTATCACACTAAAAAGGGACTTTTTAAAAGCATATAACCATATATGACAACCATAAATTTACATATGTACCTCCTCTTAAGATAAGCAATGGCACCTCTGCTCCTACTGGAAACTGCTTCAGTACCTCCACCACCTGAAGATGTGTCAAGCTCTGTACGTTCTGATGGCAAATCTCCTTGATTACGTCCCCTTTCTGAAGGCCTTGGCACCACTGGCTGTCTAAAATCATTTTCACCTTCTGTCCTGTAGGACTGTCTGCAATGGCAAACCCAAAGCCTTTAGGACCTTTGACTAGAGGAATGGTGACCAGCTCTGGCTGAGAGCCTCCTGAAGATGCAAGAGAGATCCTCTGCTCAGTTGTATCCACGGAAGGGCCATTCAGACGACCATTGACCAACATAGGGCCCATTTTTCCATTCTGGTCCAACACAACTGTTCCTGCTATTAAATCTTGGCTGGTCACACAAACATCTCCTTTGGTCACAGGCGGTCCGTTGATAATAGGTGTAGCTGTCACTATATCTACCACAGGGTCTTCATTGTCGTCAGGAAGAGGATAACCACGACACAAAGTCATGTTCACATACTGATTGACAGGAACTAGCTGAAACATCTGGACAACATCTGCATGGGTATGGCCAAGGACACAGCTTCCATTTATGTCTACAATGACATCACCTGTTACGAAAGAAAGTTCAACAGCATCAAAACCAGAAACTAAACCGCCCACACCTGTCCTGTGTTCTGAGGCTCAGAACAAAAGCCTAACCAGAGGAAATCACTGTGCAGTCTTCAAAAGTAATAACGAGTGGTGGCTGGGCTATTACCTCTTGGCTATCTGTTGCCAAAAGGCATAATGGATTTCCTCTTTGCATTTATTCTATTTCATCTCAGAACACAGTGTGCTAAATATATAAAGTTTAATCTGCAGCAGATTTAAAAAATGATACTGTACAGCCACAGGAGATGAAGCAGTGCACGCACACTACTGCAAGCAGATGTCTTCTATTTTAATTCATATTGTACAGCATCCTCAACTCAATCCAGAATAAATCGGATTTTTTGGGGGGGTCCTATGTTTATTTTAGGACTGGCTGAACTTAAGCTAGGATTGTGCCCACACACGTTCTGTAATCTTACACTGCTGCCACACATGGCTAAGCATGTATTTTCAAAAATGAAGTGGAAATAGGCTTCAGATCCTGAAACCTTGTTTCATAATTTGCATCACTTTGAACATGAAACTTTGCATGTGCAATACAGTATTCCTAGTAAGCAAACTGTCTTATCACTTAAATGCCTGGGCGTCAGTAAAACAGTAGCTTCCCTATTACATGAACTACAACAGGAATAGATATACATCTTTTCATTCAAACGTGTGTGCACAACACAATGCTGCAGGGTTGTCTTCATTTTTACAGAGGAGGAAAATGAACCACATACAAACAAGTTCAAACAGTAAGTCAGCAACAAAACAGGAAATTGTTTCATTTCATAATATATTAAATCATCGAAAGCACAAACTCTTCTTACTCTTCTTCTCCAAAGAGCAAGAGTTTATGTGATATGTAAAGAAGCATTTTGCCTTTTCTAGTATGTAAACCGTATGTTACAGTAAGCTTACAGGTAACCTAGTTAAACATATAATAGCAATGAAAAAGTGTGCAATTCTTCATGGATTGCAGGTGCTCTCATCCCTCTTGTTTCCTCACTTGCCCAGTTCATATAGCTTTGCTTGCTCATTCCTTCTGCAGGTTTCCTGCAATTTTAATATTTAGTGTTATGTTTTTTGGCAGCAACAAGGCAAAACACAGACCAGGATTCAAACACACTATTTTTACTTTACGCATAGAGAGGGAACAAAAAAACATTCTGTAAACAACCACGAAGCCAAAACTCTTGGCTAAAGCAGAACTACTGAAATCTTCAGAAGTATCCTCAAAGTAGATCTGTATCTAGAACATTGCTACTTTTCCTTTTGAGCCACTGCTCTGCACAGATCTTTCACAAATCTGAAAACTGTTTCATTTAGTGAGGTGTTCACATTCAGTCAGTGGATGGAGTCATTCAACCTCCTTGTGCCTCAGAAGCTGCATTCTCGAGAAGCACCATAGGAAATGGAGGTTTAGAGAAATAATACTTTACCTGGTGCAATTCTCCCATCCTGTGCAGCGGGTCCGTCTTTTAACACATTCTTCACCTGGAGAAACTCATCAGGTCTGTCCCCTCCAATGATTGTAAAGCCAAATCCCATTGTGCTTTTTTTCAGTGATGTCCGTATAAGTGCTCCTGTAAGCTGGGATGGATCTCTAGTGAAGACAGACTTCTCTGGTCCTTTTGAATTATGGAACAAAGAGACATGAAGGTAGGAAATCAGGGTTAGTTATTCGAAACTAGCAAGTTTTTTGTTTGTTTGTTTTTTAAGGTGTCATAAAGGTTAATGATTTGTTTGGTTAACATTGGTTAACCTCTGCAGCACTGTTACGAGTAAAGCAAACAAGATACTGTTACGCTCATTTCACAGCTGAGTTAAGTGAATGGGAAAGTTAAAAGAGTTTTTTCAAGACGGTACTACAGGTTACAGGAGAGCTGGAACTAAAGCTCCCATCTATAATTCCCAGTTTTGCACTCTAACTTGAATACCAAGCTTAAAGTAGATCAAAAGCATAAAAATTCAAGGTGTGTTTTACCTGCATCTTCCAGCTGGCAGTTCTAACCCTCCATATATTCAAAAGCTGCTTATGACAACCGGCTTCAGAATGATCAAAACTATTTTAAAGCAGTCTTAAGGTCTCAGTTCAATTTTAACATTAAAAAAAAATCATTCAAAAACCCCTACAGATTTGGGAGGGCAACACCACAATGGCCAGCAAAAAGACAAGGCTAATGCCTTGGTGAATTCCAAAACTGGTTACTTATGATGCATACTTGCAGATAAAGATATCAGTGACAAAGAACACAATATTCAGCGATACCTGGTTTTGAAGGGCCAACATCAGTCTGTCCTAGCTGTTTTTTTCTTTTGGCTTCCATTACTGGGTTTTCAAACTGAGTTTTCTGGTTAATATGACTGTAGACATACAAAAGGTAGATCAGGATTTTAGCAGAAAGCATTCTGCCTATTTCACAGAAAAAACAACCACAAAAGATACATCTACAAATATTATTTTTTATTATCTCAGATTAATGCTCTGGAGGAATGAACGATAAACTGTCATAATCAACACTGAAAGCATTTTTGTTCTTTCAACAACTTGATTTACTTTAAGAGCCAATATGATTTTACTTCCTGTAATTATTAGGTGGAGTATAGCTTCATTCCACTCTGCACATTTTCAAAAGGTTGTAATAGATTAGAACTGAGAAAATCTGCTTTTTCTCTTGATGTGATGTGTTGCTTCTGCTTACCTATAATGTTTACAAACTCAGACATCACCGTTTTACTAGTAGATGCTAGAGTAGTACAGCAGAGCGGAAAAAACCAGTAAGTTTGAGCAGAATTTAAGTACCTGTGTTGGCTTTGAATAGTCAAAAAATGTTAGCTTGTTCTCTGAAGCTAACATTTTCAACTCTACTAATTTTCTCCTCCATGGTTAAAAAGAGATTTCATTTACTCTGACCTGAAGGAGATTCATAAGAGCTCTTGCAGCAATTTAGTAGTTATTTATTTGGCTCTTTTGAGACAGCCATGAGATAAAAGTTACTCTTGCTCTTTTACAGTTTTCAGGTGCCACTCTTAAATCAAGTGATCCTATCTTTGTTAAAGCTGAGAAAAATTACATCAGCTCACTCCTATTAATAAATTACTTTGGTTGCTACTTGCTTTCTCACCCCAAAAGAAAAACACTCCAGTAAGTCAGTAAGGTCACACCATGGATCTTCCCACATGCCAGTGCTTCAGAAGTGTGCTCCATGTGCTCATTGCCTCCAGAACTGTTTCTACTGGATATGTTTAATACTTACATTGCATTACAATCTATACATACTGCATATCAAAAGCTTCATTATTTTCTGCTCAATTTACAACTATGCCAAATTAATAATTGGCACTTACTCAACATAATATGTTCCATATTGAGGGTCTTCTATTTTTTCCCACCCATAAGGAAGTTCTGCAATCAAAAAGAAGAAAATTCTCCATTACAGTGGAAAACTACCAGCAAATATCAGAGTTCTTACGAAGGAACGAGAGGACAGATTACAGACTCATGAAAAATAAGAGGAAAATACAGGTCCTTTTTTCTTCCCTTCATTTGTTTGAGGCTGGTCCTTCTGATGAAAGGATATCAGCCTGTTCCAGGGAATCTGAAGCCCTGTAACTCTCACTGTTTGTTCCACTAGATGAGGAGACTTGTATTCAACAAAATCACACCACTTTAAACATATAATAAACTTAAAAACAAGACACAAACTAACCTATTTAGAGAGGAAGAACCTATAAAGGGGAAGAAAAATACATTATTTAAAATTAATCTAATTATAAATTATGAATGTGATTTGATCGTTGTCGACTTTTAAAACTATACAATATGAATATAGTCGCATTGCTTCTGCCCCCAAATACACCACAAAAGAGAGCTATAAAAGCCTTGCAGTATCACATCCCAAGCTTGTAAAACCACGCATCTCCATTCCTCTTGTACTTTCCATTTAAGACCACCTGGCAGAAGTCATGCCACCTTTATTTATTCTCTCAATAATATCAGGATATTTCACTGTATTCTGACAATGTTTCAGTTTTCAGTCAACCCAAGAAACCTTCAGTCAGAACTACACCAGCTGTATGTGATGAGTAAGAAGAGAGCCCCCACCATGGTAGGCTATTTCGCCCTGACATTTACAATATAGTGAGACACCCCAAAACTAGCTAGCCCATGTTTAGGTCTGGCCGCATCAAATTCAGCACAGACTGCCTGGCCTGCCAAGAAGACGAAATGCAGTTTTGCGCTGCTGCAGCCTGACTGCTCTTGCAGCCACAGCAAGCTAGCTGACAGTGGCTTGGGCTTGGACTGCCTTGGACATCCCCACGTCAGGGCTCTAAAATAAAAAATTACCTGTTTGATAGAGGTACTGAAAGTTACATGTGAAAAGCTCCTTTTTATGGCGAATTCAGAATCCGGTAAGATGGTGCCCAGCAGCAGATCATTACTGACCGAAGGTGATAAGCAGTTAACACAGAGGTCCAATTATTCTAGCTTTACTGTTTTAGTTATTTTGACCATGGAAATTTAAGTATTAGAATAATGGATACAGTCAGGTAGCTAGACATTTGAGTGATAAAATTGCTACGTAATCTTGTTTAAGGCTGCCCTAAGTTTGATGGTAACAGGAATTTTCCTAGCATGTGACAGCATGTTACCAATTATTAATACCAGCATCACTCCACAGGGTTTGACAAAAGACCCAGTGGGTCTATTCATTTAAATGTTTTTCATTTGGACATCCTGCATCTCTCTGTTTAAAGTGCTCTTTTTATCCTGTGGTGAGCTGCACATATGTTTAATAAGCAGCAGTATGCGTCCATTGCTCCAGCTGGCTTCATTATGAATTCATGATTGTTAGGCTGTGCAATTTAGGAAGACGACAGGATATTCTGAGTCTGCCTCAGCTTTTGTAACATGTCAGGCGCTTGCCGAAGCAGAGCTATTTGGTACTCTTTTCTAGCTAAATTGCATGACTATGTAGGAAATGGTTGCAGGAACTGTCTGTAGGCCAATCATGAACGTGACCTATAACTCCTGAAGCAACAGCGTGAAGAGTTGAAGGGAGTCAAGACTGTTCCCTCTACTTACGCATTCAAGTATTATATCATGTCACATGCAATAGGTATCATTAGCAATAGGTATTATGCTGTATCTTCTTCATTAATCCTATATTCTAACACTTATGGACCTTTTCCTCATGCCATATTCCACCCGCACAATAATTTCCAGTGAGATCATCACTAATATATGCAGCTTTCTCCCTAGAAATGATAGTTACTGGAACAAAATATCTCATTCTCGTCTCAGGAATGCAGATAAACCCATGATTCAGTCAGATTCTACTACTCCAGGGAAAATACACTACAGACTTTCCTAGTCTTATGTAAACTCCTATTGCCATCAAACTAGGGATACTCATCACTGCACTGCCTGCTCCAGTTGTGTATCAGGAAGAAGCTTCTACCACAGCAGTAATGGATCATATCCAGCGGTGATAAACTCAGACATTTATCAGTCATAGGTGATAAATGAATTCTGAACATCTCACCTCCATCTTCACAATCTTCAGGAGCTTTGGCTTTCTTACAGAGCCGTGGATCAAGCCACGTGGTTGTCTTGGTGTTGTGACTGTGGAGCAGAACACACCCCATTAGAAAACGAGAACTCCCTCAGATTGAAGAAACTCTGCTTTATGTTAAGTATTTACTACCATGTGCAAACTGTAGCCTTTAGATAATGTAACCTTTATTTGTGCCTCAGTCACATCATAAAATGTTAAAAAAAGGCAACAATGATGCTCAGAGGTACGAGCACACTGGAGACTCTCCAGGACAGACGTGAAATGTTAGAGGTACAAACACTCTCCCCTACCCCCAAGAGCTCATGTGGGAACATCAGCTGTTTCCACCTGAAAGGAAAAAACATTTTTAGCCTCTTCTTATGCTTAACTCTCAGTAAGGTTTTTGTTTCCTTTAGAATTAATAAATGAGGCTGTTTCACATGTGCACATATGAGCTGCTTTCCTATCCTGGGCTTTATTCTGTGCTATTTGTATTTTTAAGCACGCACTCCCAGCCAAGGAACACAAGCAGCAAAGAAAGAATAAAAAAGCTCTCAGATTTCAGAGAAATTTGACATAGTGAAGGTTTATATGATGTTATACCTCACGCAGCAATACCCACCCAGCTTTGTATTTTGTGAGACACAAAACTCATATTACAAACTGACTTTGCACGTGGAACCATAAGGCTTTCCTGCGCGATGGCAATTGTACCAAGTATACAGCATAGATGACTATCAGCAAGGAAGGCAACAGTAGGAATATATTAAATTTCATACAGAAATAGAAGCAGTAAGAGCAGAAGAAGAGAGGTGTAAGAGTAGCAGGCAGCTTCCTAGGCTGGAGCGCATCAGCTCTTCTCTCCTCTGAAGGGCACAGCAACCCCTCCGCGGTGTCGGTCTACTCACTCAATGAAGTAGATCATGCCAGTGTCGGTGTAGGCCATCTCCCAGTTCTTGGGCAGTGGTTCCAGGGTTTCATCCCTTGACAAGTAATTTCTGAAGTCCATGGAGCTGCTTGTCTGGTTGTAGCTGGGAACAGGTTTCATCCAGTCAGGAGAATCTGAATGTTTTTCTTTGTTTTCTGCAGTTGTTCAGGGAAAGTGTTACTATTTGTCAGATGTTTATGTTGTTTCTCACAAAGAACCACCCTCTTAATCTGGCTACGAGTGGATGTCAAACACGTCCCTGTATGTGATGTTCATTTTTCCACTTTTTTTTTCAGCTGTGAACTTTGAAAAGCTGACATGAAAACACTGAACTCTGCTCTTACCCTGCCAAACAGAATTAACCTTTTATTATGTGTCTGAGCCTATGCTGAAAAATCAACATTGGCAGAAATCCAAGTTGACTACACTTTGTTGCCGTTCCTACATAGAGAACAGTGTTTGTAATGACATCAAAACCCCCCCCAAATCCTACTAATACTCCTCAAAGCACTAGAATGAAATGTAGAGAAGACCCAAACTGCCAATAAAACAAACAACACTCTCCTGCACGCCACAACAAGAAAAAGCTCCCAAAAATCTCTACAGAAAACTTTAAATGCAAGCCTCCACTCTTCAGTCCCGAGGTTATGCTCGGTATCCTCTGTCACACGACGATGTCCGTGACCTTCACCCAACCACCAGCCAGGCCGCCGGGCCGCTCGGTGCCCTGGTGTTGCCAGCCCTGAAGCTTGCAAGATTAGGTCAGGTCTGGTCAATGTAAATCTGTCTTAAACACTCACACACAGGATCATCTGCAAAGGCAATGTGACCGTTTCTCTCTGCCATCAGTTATTCCCCCTCGAGATGAGTAACCATGACAGTGAAAAGAAAAGGGCATCCTGCCAATCTTTGAAACGTCCGACTGGACACTGGTCCAGTCTCAATGCACTCTGCTTTATTTCTCTCCACAAACTCCCCTTTAGGCAGTTTCAGGTTGTGTGATAGTTCCCTTAACCAAAATCGTCTGAAAATTTTACAGGATGAGCTAGTGTTGCCCATTACACCAATCGTTTCGCTAAAATCTCCTGCATACAAATTCAGTAATCTCCTCAAAATTAAACAATAACATTTACAGAGTATGAATTATGCTCTGCAAAGGATTCCATTATTTGAAGAGTGGATAAATTTTTCCTTCCTCCTCATGTAACTGGCTGATACCCAGCACTACATGTTCTCTACTGAGCAGTGTATTTTATGATGCAATTGCACATCTGGCTGGGAGAACAGCTGTTTCTTTTTAAAAGATAATTTTAAAATCGAGTAAAAACACCACTCTGAATAGAAAACCACCTTCAAACTTCACCAAAACTAAGGAAGCGGTTCAAGCATGAATGTTATTTGTACACTTCTTATCCATTCATACAAAACTTCAGGGAATTTCTCCCCTTGTCAACCAACCTATCCCTCCACTGCCATTAACTGCTTCCTTTTCCTCCTCTTCCTCCTCTTCAGGGAGAGAACTGTCCATCCTTTGCATTTTGCTGACGGACGTTGTTCTTTTCCTCTGTGATTCGGTATCAAAATCATTGTCAAAAAGAACTTGATCCACTGGATCAGGCTGAAAGGGGCTGGGCTCCGCTGGAGGCTTCGGAGTACCGTAAAAATTACCTGACAATGAGACAGAAATCAAGATGACTAAAGCAACTGATAACCTGCTGAGAGTATTGACAGTGAACATTTTATTGCCCATATAACGTGGTTTTGGTGAAACACCTGAACTGTAACTTAACTTCTTAAAGAAGACGTCAGCACTATCAAAAACCAATCAATAGTGAAAACCTATTTATTCCTACATTGTCTATTGGACATCAGAAAACAATAGGATTAATTAAAAATTTCTATCCTGCCACATGTTTTCAAAAAAAAGACGGATTTATTACTTTGCCTGGAATTTACTAGTGTTCCATAAAGAGACTTGGGGAACAGTCTGAGAGAAGCAAAACAGTGGAACAGTGAAAATCAGTTGTTCTTCCTCTATATGCTGTTTAACTGATAATAGAGTAACAAGCAGCAACAGCAACACACTGAAGTCAAAAAGCTAATTAATTTTGTGCAGAAATATAAAGTATCTATTTACATAAGAACAGTTACAAATAATTGATTTTAAAACTACAGTCCTACAATTTTCTGCTAACAATACACTTGCTAAACACAGCCGTTAATATAGCTTCATCTAAAAATGTTTTGTACTTGAGAAAAATGAACAGATTTTTACTTCAATATTTTAATCTAAAACACAAAGACTAGGAATCATCTGTTGTTTTCTGGAAAAGAATTTCGGCAATTGACCTCTCCCCTGACTGCTCATATGATTTTTATTAGGGAATTGAGCACACAGCAAGAGAGCTTCCCAGATTTCCTGCTGGGGTAACATTTGGTGGCTGGATATGGTTTTGACCATGTAAAAAAAATAAATAAGAAACCCTTCTGAAAATATCAGTGAGGGCGAGACTCAAAGTGGTGACAGCCAGATAAAGGGGAGCTAAGGAAAAAAAAAAAGTGCTAGTTTAGTCTAAATTTGCTTAGGAGATTTTCACAGACAGTACAGTGTTAACAGACAGCATGAGACATGTAAAACAAGGAGGTACAGAGCCTTTCACAGAATTTTCTACTTTGGACATTTTCTTTTTCTTTTCTTTTTTTTTTTTTTGGGGGGTGGGGGAAATCAATCAAATTAATTCAAGTGCCAGTAAAACCACCACCTGCCAAAGAAGTCCTCTAGATGCATGCTTAAAGTTCCTTGAATCAAATATATATTAAACATATTTAAAAATCAGGCAGGTTTATAATCTGGTAAATTCTATTGAGCACTAATGAAAGCTGCACATGCTCAGCATTTCTGAAAATTTGGCTGTAATTTAGTTGACTTCAAGTACAACTACATATTTGAAAAAAATCTAGCCAGATCATATTTCAGGTTTTATAAACTTAGATACAAAAAGCAATGTGAGATGTTTGCAATTTGTTCTGTTCATGGTGTCAAGAGGTTAAGTCATTCAATAGTAAAAAGCAGCAGAAACCAGGCAATCATTCCTTGGAACCCATCTGCAACCAGGGCACACTCCACAGGAGTGCAAGACATCCCAGGGCTGAGCCAGTCAAACTGGTCTCTCCTCCCTCTCACTTTAAACAAAGGTGGGTTTCGGTCCGTCCTCCCACCCCAGAGTGCAGGGATGTGAGGAACCTTAAAGTTATCTCCGACCACCATCGAACCCTTTAAAACAAACCAAACCAAAGCAAAGCAAAAGCCCATCATGCGGTGGCAGCTCCGTGACTCCTCTGGATAACCAGTTCCTGATGGTTCATTACCTTCATTACAATATTTTTCCCCATCACATTTAACACAAACAACGTTGCTACAGATTTGGACGATTTGGTCTAGCGCTGTTCAATTTTTCATTGCAAAATACTTTCTTTTCCCTGCTGTATCAGAATTTCCCTTGCCTTCTGTCCTTTTGATGTGCACCTCTGAGAAGAGCATGGCTCTGTTCTCAGATGTTTAAACAAAATTGGCTATGAATTCCATTAAAACAAAATTCTACCAAACATAGACAAACATTTTCAGAATGCTTCCTCAAAAATGCAATAGAGAAAATAATCAGATTGCATTAAGACTGGTTGAAAGGACAACTTGTGATTTACTAGAGAACTTCAAAACAAGACCACTACTCCTCTTCATGGGTACTACAAAAATAGATTTAATATTGCCGCTCTACTAGTGTAATGACCATCAATGGGCAGGAAAAGTGGCACCTCCTGGGTACAAGGAGCCACACTTAGACCAAGATACTGGGCATGAGTACTGGGTCCTTATTCCCACTCCATTAAACATCATCAACATACCATCATATGTTCCACTTTCTAGCAAGGCTCCACTTTCTTCCAGTGCTTTGAACTGCTCAACAGGAATGAAATTATAGTCTACCCCAGGGACCTCCCCATCTCTGGGAGCCCTTGTAGTGCCTGAAAAGACAGAGAAAACACTCTTGTAAGATACTTCAGTGCTGCTTGTTTACCAAATTGTACAGCTGCCTGCTATACAATTCAGTAAAAACAATACGTTTTTGAATCTTTATACAATGATGATGTTACTCCAGTAAGACAAGAGTTAGAACACTGGCGAGCAAATGAACAATAATGTATGAAAACTAGGCCAATAAATTACGTAGGAATGACACTTCTGGTACTGAGGAAGGAGGAGAAAAAAAGCTGGGTGAGGTGCTAATTAGGGAGAATTCTTTCTTATGCTCAGTGAACCGAAAACTTATTCTGTGGAAGCTGACGATGCCTGGGCCAGGCAACAGCAGTGTGGGATTCTGGGGAGCTGTTTAAGAGCTCTGGTATTTTAACACAGCTGTAAGGGTGCTTCTTCTCTCCACTGTTTCCACCAGTACCAACTCACTAACTTGTAATGAGGTCAGCGTGACTAAGCACATTTGATTTTTGGGCCACCAAATCCGTAACTGGGCATAAAAACTATTTTTTAACCTTACAATTCAGAGTGTAATTCATCTATACTCCAAACCCTAGCTATAGGTAAGCTTTTTCAAAGTAATCAGTAAATTGCTATGTTAATGCAGAAGTTCTCAAAGTGTTATGTCTATAAATACGGACCTCCCATAGTTGTAATAGCTTAATTAAAGCTCTCCTGGAAAGGACTCCACTGATTCATTACTGCCTATAACCTAACAGCATTTTAAAGGCATACATCAATTTTTCAGGCAGCAGAATGAACGAGAGCTGCTAGTAAACAAACTGCCTTTCACTATTATCTTTTAAGAAAGTTACAAACTCTTGGGCGTGCTCAATATGAAAATGATGCTAAACTGAGAATGGAATTCCTATAGTTACAAAAACATTAGTTGACAAACTTTGAAGTTTTTAGTGCAATGAATATTTAAATACAATTGGTGATGAGCCTTTTTAATCAGTGAACCTTTGAGACAAGGTAAAGGATGATCTTGTGATAATTAAGAAATGAAATGGCACAGAAGGGTGAGAAGCAACGACAGGATATTTGGCAGCTGTGAGAGCGTCCTGTACCTTGAACGGTGCTTTCTATAAACCTCCACTTGCGGGAGCAGTAACCTTTAGGCACCTCGCTAAAGGCAAGTTAACACCTGTGTTGGCTGGACCACGAGATGCTAGCAGATGCCCAGAGCAGAAGAAGGGCTGGCCTAACTGATGAGACAGGTCCATCCAGATTCTCTGACTAATTAATTCTTGCTGTGACACTAAAGTTTGTCCATGTTCCTTCCTCTTCTTCTTGGGCCACGGATTTGCTCTCCCTCTTGCCACCACCTCCATGTACTTCTCAGGATGAGCGAACAACAGTTCCCCTGTATCTTCTGTCATTGTAACCCTTTCTGCACGTAATCCCTCCTGCAACTCTCTTTCCAGCTGCACTACTCTGCCTAACACATGTGACCCTCTCGAGGTCTAACTTTCCTCTTTGTGCAAAAAACAATACATCGGCAAAAATCAGGACATGGTTGCACTGCTTGATCATGCTGAAGAAGGTTTACTTCCCATGGTGGCTGGGGTTATTCTAACAACAACTGACAAACTTCCGATGAGTAAAACACAAATATTCCTGAAATACCCTGAGCTTTGAATGCTGAAGTTTTCGCTGTTTTGTCAGTCCATATTGGCCGTACCTTTTCATTGCAACTTAAGATATGAAACTACTCTAGCAAAGACATTTACAGAAGCTCCTGCTGCAAGGCAAAACTATAGACCATATTAGGAGAGAAGGCATTTAAAGCTCTCAAGTTATGTGATGGTTAGCAGGAACGGATCAAATGAGGCTGATCTTTACATACTTACAAGGGATGGTTCTCAAGTAGAGATTGTCTCTGATCACTTGCTGGAGTTTATGGTCTATCGAGCCCTTCTGGAACTGAAGGCTCAAGTAGTGGCGCAAGTCCTTGTTGATTACTTTTCCTTAAAAAACAACAAACAAGAATAACTTGTAAAAATTAAGCAGGATCTCGCAAGAAGAATGGCATTTCACTGCTATAAACGTTTCAAAAAAAGAAAGCTTCATAAAGAGTTGGGTTGTTTTAAATGCAACAACCTGAACGGAAAAGCCGTTCTATGCTACCAAAGCCTGACTCTGCTGGTGTAAATTGGCATGGTGACTTTAAGCATAGCTGAGCAACAACCACCCAACCTCGGTATCTCCCAAGAAAGACAACGACAATATTTTGGAATTGTTTTGAAATCAATTAAAAGTGTTATAATTCAAAATCTATTACCAAAATCAAAAGTCTCTACAGACAGGAAACTGCTTCAAAATATAATGATAATATTTTCTATTCAATTTACACCTACTGGTTACACACCTGAACTCAGTATTTTGTCACATGGGAATCTGCATTCTTGATACTATAAAAAGAATATATTTTCTTTTTAAAAACACTGCATGATAGAAGAGGGTTTTTTTACAATTATTCCTTTGCAATACTTCTGTCAGGTATCATTAGCAAATCTGTCATATCACTAGACAACCATGGCCCCTTCAGCACACGAATAACTGGGCTCTTGTATTACTGCTTCATCCTTCTGACAGAAGGGTACAAACCAATCTTTTGTACCCTGCCATCTTCCCAAAAAGCACATTAAATAGGGTTCAGTGACCTTGATAAATTTAAGTTACGTACGACAGCAGAACACTTGGGGCTTTAGGGAAAAAGACTCTTGGTCTTTGTCCTGAAAACTCAGCCTAGGAGATGGCCAGTAGCAGGCGGATGCTGGTGCATCACAACAGTGGGAACAAAAGCTGGAACACACAACTGCTCCTTTTAAGTTACATCAGCAACAGGTTACTAAAGGTATAAACCTGCTGTAGGAGTGATTCTGACAGGAGCCTCTGAAGCCTGCGGAGACCCGCTGCTGAAGAGACCACCTCAAAATGCCCAAGAATGAAATGGGGCACAGACACACATCAGTCTTAATACAAAGCTCACCTACACCTTAAACCGAGATTACTCTGCTTACATGAAATGTCAAATTTGGAAAAAAACCCAGCAAACCGAAACCACCAAAACCCAAAAAACCCTTCCACCACCACTCACCAAGTTTTCCCAACCATGTGTCACTGCCGCAAAGTCAGTTGCACGTTTTGCTTTTAGCAAATTTATACTTTCCCTTCTCTTTCTCTCAAGTTAAGGGCAGACACACACCTTATACATGTCTTTCAAACATTACCTCGGCTACCACCATTCGTTAATGGCAAACTGTATTTCAATTTGCATACTCTTCCCTCCAAGCAAAACAATGGTGTGCTGGAAAGTATTTAAAAGTGAAACCAAGATTACCTATCAGCCCTCTCTTCATAGAGGTCTGTGCTGTCCATAAATTAACCAAAACCCAAACAAAACCACCCTAAGCCCCCCTCAAGCAAACAAAGAAAAAGCCCACCACACACATGCCCCCAGGAATACAGGCAGTGCACCCAGTGCTTAATGCCAGCCCTGAGCTCCAAATGAAGTCCATTTCTCACCCGCCTTTAAGGCTGCCATTTATTTTAAAATTACGACCAGGAACCCAAAAAGCATTCCACAGCTTTCAGAGGACACTGCACTACAGTCCTCACGGCTTTCCAGGAGTTATACAAGCGATACGGTAATTCCCACTAACGTGGGTGGGGTGAGCAGCATTCCCCGTCCCCCCGACTCCTTCCTGAACACGAAACTCGCAGCAACTCCGCAGCTCCCCCGGGTCTGACGCTCTCTGTTGTTATGACAGCGAGCCCCCAGCTCAATTCCCTATTTTGCCATCATGAGCTGTTCTTTCTAAAACTTTGGATTCGCTTTCTGCAGCATAATGAACAAAACATGTCATGGAAAATGAAAACAAATGGTGTAATCTCCAGCAAGAAAAATATTTTCCATTTGTTACTACAAATCGCTTTATTGTTTGTAGACAAGATGGTTTCTCAACATTAAAAAATGTTTTACCACTAAATTGGTCCATCCATCTCCCTGTCAAAGCCAGATCTATAGCACTGCACTTTAACAATACAAGCGTATTTCACTTAGGCAGATCAATACACACGTATTTCGCTCAGGCAGATGAATCTGGTTGTTAGCTATGTTCAGAGCGTTGGATGTCGGAAAAACTTGGCAAGAGGTGAAAATCTGTACTGGATGTAGAATTACGGAGACTTTATTTATTCACTCATCTTACCCTCTTTGTGTTTTAAAATTTAAAAGCTCATAAACCCTTTTCAATAAATATCAACTCAGTCTAAAAAAAAAAGTAAAAGCAAAACTGCTACTAAGGATATGCTGACATTGAGGGGTTAATCTTAGCATTAAAACCTTAAAGATTGGACTATACTCTCAGACCAAGACGACTAAATTGAAGATTGAAAGGATTGCCTGGGGAAAACAGAAGAAAGTCAAACAAAAGAGTAGGCAGAGAGAAAATGACAGGAAGTCACATAGAGAGTGGTGTGCATTAGAAAGCAGAAAAAGAAAGTAACAGTAAGGATGCTTTAGGCAACCTCCAGAGCTTGTTCTTACGCAAAAGCCAGATATTTCCCCCTTGAGGAGCTGAACATGCTCCTTTGCGTTGTTTCACCCAGGCTTTTAGGAAAACCTCACGTATCAGACTCCCCAAAATGACCTAATAAATGTCAGGTTGGTGTTTGTTGTGCTGCCAAGCTGCCTCTGAAGGATGACACACGCAACACAGGGACCAGTCAAGAGGAATGATGTGCTTTATACCATTCAGGTTCTGCAAGATGAACAGGCACAAGCATCTTCTTTTCAGTTTTAATTTAAATTAACCACAAAGGAACTGCTTAAATGAGGATATGCACACTGCAGTTCAGTAATGAAAACTAAGTGACTGCAGAAGAAAAAAGGCGCGAGTACCACTGCAGCAAAATACAGCGCTGTGAAGGACAGAGGCAAGTATGAGTGACAGAGACGTTGCAAGAAACGGGGGTAGTGGCTTTCATTTCTCTTGTCACCCCACAAACTGCAACGGTAAAGTTGCCTTTGCTGCTGTATCTAAGCAGGATGAAGACAGCTATTTATACATCCAACCTGTCATGGAAACACAAAAGTATACATATTGCAATTACAAACAGATAAGTATTGCCATGGGGCTCCTAGAACTCAACACAAAGAAGTCCATTTCTAAATTAGCAATATTGGTAAAAGAGCAAAGCTCAATTTTTAAATATGCAAATAAATTCTAAGAATTCAATCTGTGAAGATTTTATGATGCTGCGCAATAATAAGTCACAGCAAAATAATGTCACAAGTATGTCTGGCTAACGCTGCCAGCACATGGAGTATCTGCGACATCCCCCACAAATCACTCTGAAGACCACGTGGAAATTCTCCATTTTGTACTGATGCACATTTTATGCAGACAGACATAGGTGACAACTTTCTAGAGGTATGGCACATCGTATTTACTGCACTACGTGGGGAGCTATACTCTGAAGTTTCCATGCCAACACGTCCTAGAGACAGCGGCATCTATGTGCTAATAGGGAGCTGCAACGCTGACGGACGCATGAATGAGTACGCGGCATTTTTCTTTCAAACTTTTCGAAAAATACTTTACTGTTAATTATAAAAGCAATTTTTCAAAGTAGCAGTTTATTAAAAGCATGCTACTTTCC